TATCCGGGTTAGATTCAAGCGCTCGCCATTGTGGCATTGACATTTTGGAAAACAGAAAACTAAAAAAATTTACAGTACTGATTTCCTTGAGCTTACTTCAGTTTGCAAATATTTTTAGATGAAAACATCAATAAAACCAATGCAATTCCTCGGAAGCCGTTTATTAAAGCCGTATTGTAACACCGCCATATCAGTGGAACACTGGAAAAATCACAGACAGATAAAGTAAGCTGATGAATGTGGCATAGCAAGTTGAAAGAAGAAGATATTAACCAAGTTAATATCGTTGCAATAGGCATCGATGTACACACATCATGAAGGAAGATCCAAAGCAGAGTGTCAGATGCGAGATTATGCAGGGGAATGAAGGTCAAAGCTGTAGAATAACCGTTTATCTAGGAACAAGAGCCATAGCAGCGAATGAGACATTGTCCAGCTTCTCCATAAGATGTTTGCAAGCAGCACCAGCATCTTTTACGAGAGTATCACCACTGGTCACGCCAATAGGACGTGGAAATGGAGCTCGAGAATCTGAACACGACAAAGTTTATATGAAAAGTGAGAAAAAAAGGGGAAAAAACTACTTCATAACCTATTTCAAAAAGCGTCCCATCTTTGTTCACGTAACAAATGTAATGGTGCTGAACTTCCTCCGGTTGACGAGAGTCACCATGACGAGCAGCTTCTTCATGCGCAGCGGCAAGCGAGGGGTCTTCAAAAAACGGCATGTTGACGAAGAGCTCGCAAGAAAAAGTTTTTGTATACTATTTGCATTACTTAGTTTTCAAAGAGTATCAATGTTCAAGTTATTTACATGACAGTCGGCAAATAGGTCTTTGCCTGCATACTTATCGTTTGCAGTGCAACTTGTAGGCAAGCAACCTCCTTATATAGCTCATATGAAATCAAGTCGTTGGCTCAGCTACTCAAGTACTGTGATGTGACGGCAGAAGTTTGATGAAACATTAAGGGGATAAATTCTATAAAAACTTACCGTTAGCTAGAAGATCCGATCTTTGATCA